CGCCGTCATGGACACCGAGTCCGGCAGAGCACGGTCAGCACAGCGGCAGGTTCTCCCCAGCGACCACGCGGAGGGAACGCAGCGCCACAGGGGAGAGGGAATCTGAAAATGCCGCCCTCCTCGCCCGTGCTGATGACGTCATGGAGCAGGGACTACATTTCCCACAAGGCGCAGCGAGAGTCCCTTAGGCACCACAGATGATTGGCTTGTTTCCGCAGCGGAGCGTCCTGTTACCAGGAGACAGACCCTGACCAGAGAGGGACGCTCTCTATCCACGTGAGTGAGAGACAGGATCCTGGCTCTTTATTAAACCCTGGTTTGACATTTCAGGGATAATGGGGAAAGTCACATGTGGGTCACTTCGTCAATGACATTAATAAGTAATTTTTGTTGCTCTGGTGTAGTTATTGGTGGTGTAGAACCAGCGACTCTTTGTAATGCAATCTAAATGGCGAAAAATAATGTGCTTGCTTTAAATTTATCAAAAAAAAAAAAAGGCCAATATAGCAATTCTCTTGCAAACTTAAAATATGTTTACCCTCACCCACTAAGCTAACTTTCTACTGTTCATGGGTGTTACGCAGTTGGAAAACTATTCTAGTGTATATATGAAATAAGATAGGGTCATAGGGTAGGTGTACTTCATATTCCGAGTCTATTTACACTTCAAGTGTGTGACAGTTATTTTCTCCAAAGCTCCCGTGCCTTATCTAACAAATCTTTAATTATTTGGGTTGTGTCTGTGTGTGTGAGATATACCTGACTCACCTACTTTTCCTTTACTTCATCCACGAACCAGGCAAGGAGGGATTTCACAGACCTTTCGCCATCATTGAGTTCCTTTTCAAATAGAGAAATGCCCATCTTGATTGAGCACATTCTCCTGATTACTCTTTATCCTTCGGTTTGTGTTGATGTCTGTACACTGGAAAAGTTGGTGTACACTCTGGCCTGATCTCAGACCGCAGAGACACTCCCATGCTAGGAAAATGTAAGTGAGAGACCCATGCCCAGTGGCCCCATTGCCTCCACAGACCACGCCCTAGCTGTAGGAAAGCATTGCAGTTCCCCTTATCTCAGTGTAGGATAGTTATGAGGTCTACAAAGCACACTACTTTCTCTCCAAGGAAAGAACATGCATTGGGTCACCCCACCTTCTGGGTCCCAGTTAGCTACAGCACAGAGCCACTTTGAAAGGAGACCTACTGCCAAATAGACCTTACCCTGAGGGCCGACAGTGCCTGTATCTGTGCCCCGTGGGTAGCCAAGCACACAGACACAGCAGCTGAAGCACATACACCTAGTTAGACTAAGTGGTATGGTTGGGACACATGTGCACACATTAGAGCATGTTGGGAAGTTCCTATGGTCCCTGTCACCACAGAAAGGAATAACATTGTTAACCAATGGACAAATAAAGTGGTACTGACACTGAAGATAACATGTGGGATGTCTGACAGAATTCACAGTAATTATTTTGTTCTTTGTTTAGAGTTTTTTTGTTTGTTTGTTTGTTTGTTTTTGTTATAGAGTGTGTGTGCTCACTAGAGAGACAGAGAGACAGAAAGTGAGAAATCTCCACCCAGGAGGACGGCTGTGCTGCAATCTCTTCTCCTCCATTCTCCTCTTGGGATTTTGAGCACACATGCAACATGTGCACAGCATGATTTTCAATCACTGGGTCTGGGATTTGAACTGTGGCTGACCAGTGGGAGTCCAGCCCCTTAACCACTATGCCATCTGCTATCCCCCACAGTAATGATTTTAAGCAAGCCCACACACTTAAAGAAAATACACAGAAACATTTCAGCACACTTTTTTTTAAAGCATTATTTTATTTAACTATATTTATTCATTCATTTATTTCATTTTTTTAATTTGACCAGAGAGGGACAGAGAGAGAGAGAGAGAGAGGGAAAGTGAGAGAGCAAGCCTCCAGGTCCAGGCCTTGAATCGTGGTCGGCCATGTGGGAGTCCAGCATCCTTAACTACCACGTCACCTGTCAGCACACTTTTGATGAGCATGTGGCAAGTTGTTAGAAGAATTTTTCAGATGGTAAATATTATTGTAAATATCTTTGGATTATACAGCCTAGCAAGGTGGCTATTTTGTTTCTCATTAGAGTTTTATTTGCAGTCATGTAATCACTTACTCATTTGTTAAACAAGTTGTTTGTTCAGCAATTCACTGCCTCAGGCATAGTTTAGTACCTGAGTACATATGAATATGGTCATTTTTTTTAGAAAATTTGCTACAGGGCACATATTCTTGCCAATAGAAAGAGTGAGAGAGAAAAAGAGAGACACAGAGAAGAGAGAGTAAGAACCTTCTCACAGATTGGCCAAATCACAGTCCATTCTCTCCAGTTCTGCATTCAGGATTTTGGACAAACACACACACACACACACACACACACACACACACACTCACACACTCCCAGCTTATTTCCCAAGCCACTGAGTCCAAAACTTGAACTATGTGGTTGGTTGGCTAGGTGGGATCCAGCCACCTTTAACAACCATGCTATCAGATGGCAGGGTAAATACAATAATTTAGACATTGTTGCAATCCAATAAAGGGGAGACAGTAATTATAACCATACAAGTATACATATAGGCTATAGGCTATAACTAGGATAAAGCCTATAAAGAACACTTTCTATAAAAGACAGTAACAGTTGATTACACTAACCACAGTCTTGGGACTCTGGAGAATTTACCTGGAAAAGAAAGAATAATAATTTGTTATCCAAGTTATGAGGGAGGAAGTATTTGAGGGTGATACAAAACTTTATGCAAAAACCCTGGTGGGAAAGATTTTGGTGAAGATATAAAAGGGAAATAAAATCGATTTGCCTGAAGTGTAGCAGAGAAGAGGGAAGGGAATGTAAGACAAGATTGAAAAGATAGGAAGGATCTTATTTGCTATCTTAGGTTTATCTCAAGAGAAGTTGGAGGGCTTGAAATGCTGTTAGATATATGATCTAATTCACTTTTCACAAAGACTAGTGTAACTGCTGCGTGGACAGTGAATGGGGAGGGGGGAGGGGAAAAAGTGGAATTAGGGAAAGCATAATGGAGGCTGTTGGAGATGTTCAGGGAAGAGAAGGTGACTTGAACTATGGAGAGAGGTGAATTTATGGTGAAGTCATAATGGATTGGATGTGGGGCTGAGACTCTGAATGAGCCATTCAGAGATGACTCAAGTGTAATTCTACAAGTCTCAGATTGAGCACCAGAGGGTGGTAATGACATGGGGTACACACGATGCCAAAAATTTACTAACTTTGGTTTGAAGGGTCTTTAATGCTGTCCTAAGATAGGAGGGAACTTCTTCTGAAGTCAGCAGGGATCTGACTAATGGCTTGCAAGTGTACTAAGAGGGAGAGGTCTGAAGGAAACAGGAGATGGTGGCCAGAGAAACGGAGGCCTGGAGCCAGGAAAGAAATTTTGTCTGCAATCTTGGAGCGATTTTAAAGTCACGAGTTCCCTAGACGACCAAATTTTTGAGAATTTACTAGAGAGCATGTATGCTCAATTGAGAGAGAAAAAGACAGAAAGAGAGAAAGCAACCCCCAGGGAGGATGACCACAACGCAATCCCTTCTCCTCTATTCTAATCTTGGGATTTTGGCACTCATACATGTGCCTGGAGTTCTTTTTCAAATTGATGGGTCTGGGAGTCAAATCACAAAATTGGTCATGTGGGGTCCAGCTGCTTTTACCACCTCATCACTGCTGCCCCATGAACAGAATCAGGTGTTTAGGGGAAGTTGTGGGCAGGGCACTGCCAAGAACAAGAGAAGAGAATAGTAGAATTAAGTAACATAAAAATGTTAAG